AGATCTCCAGGTCCTAAACTGTTTAGGGTCCTATAAGTTATTGTAAATACCTTAAAGCAGGCCTGGAATTCAAATGGCAGGCAGTAAAGGTGATATAACACTGGAGTAATATGCTCATGCATCGGTATTCTCATTAAAAGACAAGCTGCTCTATTCTGCACCAATTGCAATTTACCAAGCGTTTTCAAGGGCAGGTGCACATAGAATGTGTTGCAATAGTTCAAGCAAAAGGTTACCAGGCCATGGATCACTGTTGCCAGTTTTTTTCCAAAATATCCAAGTGCTATTGATGGGGTGTGAGTTGTAGTACTCCTTTGTGGTCACCCACTGGTTGGTGCTGCAGTACAACAGTGATCTGGCCAATTTATACAGGGGTTAAAACACTTGGCCCTAACGGTTGGCTTCAAACAACAGAACAAGCTATGGTGGGGTGTTTTGGTTTGGTGGTGGTATTATTATTATTATTATTATTTGCAATTGTTGTTATGTCATTTCATCTGAATTCAGTCAGGACATTTTGCCATGGTAAATTTGAAATTTAGAAACCAAGCTAAGAAGCAATGTTTTCTTTTGTATAGTTTCTCTTGTCTTCTCTCTTCTATGACCATGGCTTGTCATGTTGTCTGAACTCAGATTAGTGGTTTCCATAGTCCTGGTATGCAACTACCACAGAGTGCCTTGGAAAAAGCAGCAACTGCAAAAGACACTCCAGACAATCAGTCTTTGTGTGTCAACCAATGAGGAGACACGTGACATAGATGGAGGCATCACGTGTCTGTCTATAGATGCATAGACAGACATGTGATGCATCTTGGAAATAATTTCAGGAACAGTGTCTGATGCGATAACACCAACTGTTGGAGGACTGAGCAAGGAGGATGGAAACCATAATAACACAGAAACCATTTGATTGTCTTTCAGGAGGATCATGGCAAAAAATATATGTACCATGGTAACCATGCAGGGTTGCTTGTCATGTTGATGTGCCTTGGTACCTTACAGTATCAGCAGAAAACGAGAAATACACTTCTCTTCAACAAATATATTGGGCCAAGTTACATGTTAGCTTTAGCCCACTATGGTTTGAAGCATATGTCGGTGGTCATGTTGAATATTCAAGTAATGACAGGAGGTTACTGTGGTTTATCATATCTGAACGTGGTGAGACTAGATTACCGAGACAAACAATCCATAAACAAAGGCAATTTTAGGCTGGTGAGTGGCTTGTTAACCACACCAACCAACCACCATCCCTAACTTCAGATGATGCAACAAGCCATGATGAACATCTGTCATGGCTTAAATATGGCCACCAGTATGCAGCCTAACCCACAGTGGGCCACAGAAACCATGTAAACTGGGTCGCTGTGTGAGGATTTCATACTTATGAATGGTATCATTTGCTCTGAGCCTGGAAGACTCACTGAGGCCACATGATTGGAGTTTTAGATAAATAAAAATCGATGTATTAGAATCCAGAGAAGAAAACACGATGTGCTACATTCTTCTAATTGACAGAATATGGCGACCTCCTGCCCAGCCAGTCAGATGAAGGGCACAATTTGGGATTATTTCTTGTGTTACATAATCAATGGCTGTCCCTCCCTTCCATAAACAGTGTCCATCGAATAACACCTGCTTCTTTTCTTACATGTTTGGACTAGAAATGAACAAATTAAGAAATACTTCTGTGTAATCTTGGATGTGAGATGAATCTTTGTTCGTCTGAGAGCTTGCTCTGTGCTGTACATGTGCAGTATCAAGCTCCATCTTAGGAGCTGTAGTATGGAATCATATAATGTGTGGTGAAATCCTGAATCACCCCATTATGCTTCCCTTCCATATATATGTACTGTTTACTCACCACCATCACTGATCTGTATATAGAGAAGAATGGAAGAAGGAATAAATTTAGAAACTGAACTACATGACTGCTTCTGTGAAAAAGAGTGGTCTGTAGAATGAGTACCAAGGCCAAGCTTGCCCTAAAGAGTTACAGTGACATCATCACATTTCCTCCTATAAGAAAAGTCCAATGAACCAACTGCATGTGCAGAAACACTTATTTTAGATGCAGGTTGCATGTTCTCTGAAGCTTGTACTCCATTCCAAAATTAATGATTTTGTCAGACAGTGATCCAAGCTCACTACAAAAATGAGCATTTGAAATGCATGTGTCCTGACCAGTGAGCTGATTAATTATGAAACTTGGCAGCATCACAATTTGGTCCACAGTTTTCTGTACAAGACAATAGCTATATGATTGAATGTTCTTTCTACACAAGAATCTTCAAGGGATGGGGGAACAAACTCTGGGTCAGAAGAGGAGGAGGTTTAGACTCTGCAGCTGAAGTGCCACAGCCAGAGAACTAAGAGATGAACCAGTCCTTGAGAACCAGTCAGCTTCAAATACTGTGAGCTTGCTCATGAGGAGGAGGGCAAAACAGAACTCCTTAATCCTAGGATCTGGCATCAGGAAAAGAGGACAGAACAGCTGAGAAGTGTCAGATGCTCCAAGGGATTGACTCTTAGGCAGGAGCTTTTACCTTGAAGGAATGGTTTGGAAGGGATGAGTGTTATTCAGTTATCAACTTCTTACCATTAAGCTGCTTTTCTCTAATGGCTAATATTTTAACTCTGCTTATTTCTTTTGTCATGGACTGTTACTGTACTTTTCATTTGCACCTTAAAGCCAACCTCAGCATACTAAAAGGCTTTTAAATAGAAAACCTTTGTCCTGGTCTGCTTAGAAGGAGTTGGAAAAGAACAGCTTCAACAATAGAATTCTTTCCCATTTATGTATGCCATTGTTCTTCTTGCCCTTTGTCAATTTGTTCATCAGAAGGTGCTCAAACTTCTCTTGATCCCAAATGCAAGATTGCAACAAAATGGGAGATGGGAAAGACTTTTGAAACAAGCATTTACACAATGCTAGACCAGTATTTAAACAGTATTTTAAAAGTATTTAAAATACTGAAACAAAGTGAATTAAGTACATTTTTATGCATGTTTAGACAGAAAGATGTCCCACAAGTGGGGGCTGCTGTTTTCTGTCTAAAAGTGCACAGGGCTACACCCTAAGTTGCTTATAAAAATAAAGGCACCCTAAGGCTTTATTTTTCCAGTGTCCAGTCACTACTACTCCCCCATTTTCCACCAGCCTATAGTATTGGACATCATTGTATATGGCATTTTACAGGCCACAGTGTCTAACAGAAATCCGAGCCATGTTGCCCGAATTCCATCACATTGATTCATCAAAAGGGAGATAACTATAGGACAAATATTTCATATTCTCTTTTTGGCCACACATTATAAATTTTGCTTTGTATATTTTGGTAGTTGGACTGTTTGAATCTGTAAGAATAAATTGCCAAGAATTTTGTTTTTGTTTCCCACAATAGGAACTAAAGATTAATCCGTGGAGACCTGTAAACTTCCTAATTGTAAGGACTGTATCTAAGTAAAGGAAAAGAAACTTCCAGTTCTCAGTTGTTAAATGTATCAGATAATTTATAACTAGTAAATTAGCAACTTTAGATAGGATCAAAGCTTATTTATTCATTTAAAAATATATTCTGCCTTTTCCTGCAAGTCGCTCACATAATGACTCACATAATCCTCTTTATTTTTTCTACAACTCTGAGTTCAGCTAGGCTTTGAGTTTGTGGCTGGCCCAAAGTCACTCTATGGGATGCATGGCCAAGTGGGGATTAGAACTGGTTTCTCTTAAGTCTAAGGCCGTCACTTTAATCACTATGCTATATTGATTCCCAAATCCGGGGGGGGGGGGATGTTGTGGAAGGGGGGATATTGTATCACTATGCAGTATGAGGGGTTTCCTATTTTATTTAACTTAAGAGTTTCCTGCCTTACTGGTCATTAGTGAGGGTCCTTCATGGAAAAACACCTTTGACAACTTGAATTTAGACTGGGATGCACATACCCCATCCCTTGGGCCAAATTTAGCCTGCCTGGCATTCTATTCTAACCTTCTAGAATTCCTGGCTTGGCACACCCCTTCAGCTGCCATGTGTCTGGCGTTTTCCTGGGTTTTGTGTGATTTTTTTAGGAGGAAACTTAAACTGTTTTCTAAGGTTTAGTTACGGACAGTAAGAGCTTTAAGTTAAACCATTGTGGAATTTTGGTGGCTGATCCTTCTTGTGGAACAGGATCCCCAGAGAAGCTCGCTTGGTGCCAATTCTGCTTTCATTTTAGTATCAGGCAAAAACATCTCTCTTCTCCACCTATTTTAATAATTGTCCTTTATAATGGATGCTTAAATGTTATTGTATTTTAGTATTTGGTTGTTCCTCTTACCTGAACATGTTTCATGATATTGATCTTGCCTGTGTTAGAAGTGTTATCAATTGGTTATTTTTAGAAACATAGAAACAGAGCGAGTCAGAAGGGACCTCCTGGGCCATCTAGTCTGATCCCCAGCTCCAGCTGGCTCTGTTCATGCTGTGCCTACTATTTTTAATGATGGTTTTAATTGTTCTGTTGTGATTTTATAACTGTATGCTGCCTAGAATTATGGACAGTAAGAGCAAATTGATAGCTCATATATATAAAAATGTATTGTGGCCTCAACCACTTTGCCATTGGCCCATCCCATTTTTCCTTTAGCCACTGAAATTATGGTCTCTGCAATCTTCTCCAAAACCAAATTTGATACTCAGGTTAAAAGAAGTTCAACATCCCTAATTTAAAGAGCACTACATGAAATGTGCCAGGGCGAGAGCTCAGTCTGAAAGGTAACTGAACGAATATTTGACTAATGCTGCTGTATCTGATCAGATGTTTTTTATATTCCATACCTCTAAGAGAAAACTGTGACTTGCTTTCATTTTCCTTACTCAATTATAGCACACGCATTGCAGAGCAGTAATTTTATGGTATTTGAGAACAGGAGAACTACAGAAGAGGTTGAAAATTAAGTGTGAGTCATGTGACCTTTTCTTCTCTCTTTCCCTCTCCCTACTCTTTCTTCTTCCTAGTCTCCTAAATCAGCATTTATCAGTGCAGCAAAAAAGGCCAGATTGAAGTCCAATCCTGTCAAAGTGCGATTCTCGGAAGAAGTCATTATTAATGGCCAGGTTTCAGTGAGTGCAAAGAATATTTTTTAATTTTTATTTACCAGTGGAAAATGTAATTTTTTCAAGGTCACTCTGTAAAGCTCTAAATGAATAAAATGAGATGATTGCATTCAATTCATTAAGTGTGCATGATGTATTTAACTCTATATGGGGCACCTAAGTACTTTTGAAAAGGAAGGAAGGAGAAAGCCAAGATTTGAATCAAACATGCAGTCAGCAACATGATATAGTCCTCTCACTCATCTGTACCCCATGAATTTTATGGAAGGCTGCTTGTTTGAAAGTATCCCTGTGCTATAATTACATCAAGTAAATAGCTGGATCAGCCCTAAGCATTGTGGGCTGTTCAAAAAACTCTCTGGGGGGCAGGAGAGTGATGCATGCAATCACAGGTCCTGATGTGGCCACCCTTGAGTAAGAAGGTGTTGCAGAAAGATGCTTTTCCCTGGGTTGTTTTAATACTTCAGAGAAAGCTGATACAAAGACACAGTGAAATCCTTGGCACTTGGAAAAATGAACAACGCAGTATGAATATTTTTAGGAATCGTCTCTTATACAAATCATCCATTATGTTCTAATTTATGATACGTGCTGTAACTTTAACAGAACTCAATGTTGCTTGGGGTTTGTATGTGCTTTCTTCAGACCTCACCTTGCAAATTCTGCCCTTGCTTTCTACAAACACTAATTAGTCAGTTTTATGCTATATGTTTTCTTCCTTCCTTGCCCTATCAGCTAATCCCTGCAATCTTTACTTTTAGTGGTTGTTTTGTATTTATAATTTTCTGAAATAAGTGAATCATAATCATTGCCATGCTGGGCTACTCCATGGTCCATTCAGCATAGCCTTCTGTCTACTGATAGATGCAAACCAAGGTTTAATTGAATGCAAATTAAAGGTATTGTGCACAAAGGAAGATCAGCATGCATGTTGCAAAAGTATTTCCCCATCCCTCTGCGCACTTATGTGTCTTTCATTGTTATAATACACAAAATAGCTTCTTACGGTGTCACATTACATGAAGATAATGTTAGTGAAGGAAATCCAGCTGCGAGTATGACTGGCTGCTTAACTAGTTCTTTGTAGCCTAGTGAGAGACTGGTTTTAGGATTTAGTATTGGAGGCTGAAGGCAACTGCAGATGTCAGCAGTCAATGGAAATACCATAGCTCAGTGCTAGAATTAAAATAAAATTAATGTTTTTGCTTGGTGGGATTCAGGATGCTTGATTTCAGCTGTTAGTAAGCTTCTGCAACTTTATGTCGCTCTTTCCTATGAATCAGAATGCTTAAGAGTTGTAATATGGGAATACTAATCATAATTACTCCTTAACAGGAAACAGTGAAAGATAATTCACTTCTTTTCATGCCAAATGTTCTGAAGGTGTACCTGGAAAATGGACAAACCAAATCTTTTCGTTTTGATTGCAGCACTTCAATAAAGGTAGGCTCACTACTCAGAGACTGTAACATTAAGACTGTTTAAAATCAAAAGAACCACTTGAAGCTTCCAGAAAAGGCCTTTATTTTTCACAAGAAAACTCTCATGTTCAAGAGCCAAATCTGTATCACAAAGTTCCCTCACAGCCAGTTTTGTGACATGTTGTTAGCAGGTCTGGAGAAAGGGAAACATAAAACCTGCTTTGCTCCATTACTTCTGTCAACAGGATGACAGTACACAGGCCTTGGCATGAATTTTATTGAAGGTTTTCCTAGTTACATGCACCAAATGTCTATTTAAACATTAATCAAAAAGGGAAAGTACTGCTCCATAAAAAATAAGAGGCTGCTCTGTGTACATCACAGAAAGGATCTTCTCCTTCCTTGGAAATAAATGCTACCTCTAGGAAGTCCTGGATGAATAGCCTGTGATAAGCCCAGGAATGCTACCAGCTTCCCCACCAGTCCATCATGCTGGCTTGTAACTAGCACTTAACTCTGTTCTTAACTTAATCCCAGGAGTTCCTTGGTCTTGGACACAAAGCTAACATATTGCTCATTCAACCCAACCTGGGTGTACTGAAAAGGGGAGCAAGGAAAGGCTTTCTTTCTCCTGAGAAGGCAGACTTAACCAGCTAGTTATCTGACGCCACACCCCAGCCTCAACCTGTTTCTGGTTTCACCCTGGTCATGTCCTCCATTGTACTCCCTTTTTGCCTGTCCTCCCATGCACCCTGGATTTCCTCCACCATCGCCATGCTCTCCTGCACATCCTCCTTTTATTCTCCCCCTTTCCCCTCTACCTTCTCCTTCATGGCTGCCCCACTTCACATGTTGCTCCTTTTGGCTGCAGATGAGGCAAAGCATGTGATGAAACTGGCCTCTTTTCCAGTGTGCTTTCCCTGCCCATTGTGCTGGCCTGGGAGCCTGTCAGGCTGCAGGCACCGGCCATGAGGCTACATACAATTCATTGGGTATCTGCTAAGAGGGGGAGAGCCCTGCTAACCCATCATGTTTGTGAACTATTTTTATGGTCCTACAATTTAATGTGGTATAAGTTATTTAAAATAGGGGTGGTCATTTTGATGATTGCACCTAAATTAAAATTTCATGGGGTTCACTAAGAAGGTCTGCTCTGCTGCCAAAGCTTAGTGTGGTTTGCCAGCAGAATACAAAGCTTACCTTAAGCTATTGATGATTAATTGAATAACTTGGAATAATATGAGCAATACATCTGTTAGGGTTACACAAGTGGTGAATTTTCCTTACTAGTTCATTGCTACTTTAAGTTTTGTAAAATATATCACAGGCTATGTTATAATGTACATATCATAATATGGGAGGGTTACAGAGAGTGAATGTTCGTATGTATCCAGACAGCAATGTCCTGCATTATCTACACAAATACAACACAAAATTGCTCAAGGAGGCAATGCAGTCTCCTTTTGCAAGCATACAGCACAGGCAAACCAAAGATCCAACTGAAAGCTGATTGTTTTTAGGATAGCATGAAGTGCAATCAAATGCATGTTTATTCATAGGTAAGCTCCAGTGAGAACAATGGGGTTTACTCTCCATTAAATGTGCATAGGATTATAGCTTTAGCTGCATTTGTATACCCACTTGAAAATAAGCATATGTGAATTCAATGATACTGAAGAATAGAGTGTAGAGGATTGCCCTCCTGTGACAAGCTGGACTGGGCCCATTATGTGATAGTTTCAGGAAAAGAATTAGGGAGGAAGTGCTGCAGCATCTGGGAGGAAAAGGATTAAACGTACAGCTATCCTATGACATTCCCATGTTGCATCCTTGCACTAGTCTGACATTTGAGGAAAGTGAAAGAGATCTCAAGCCTATACTTTGTACTTTCTTTTTGAAGGATGTCATCTTAACACTTCAAGAAAAACTGTCAATTAAGTGTATTGAACACTTTTCTCTGATGCTGGAGCAGAAGGCTGATGGATCTGGAACAAAACTTCTCTTACTCCATGAACAGGAGACTCTAACTCAGGTTTGTGGAATAATGCAACTATGTATGGAATAAAGAAATGCATTTTGCTTTCCAAGAACTGTAGATGCTTAGAGCCAGTCCTTATATTTTTTTTAATGAGGGTTATAAAAATGGTGTTCAAAAATGCAGAATTGTTGCTGATGTTGTTCTGGAAAACTTTCTGCTAGGTGCGTCTCAAAAGAAGAATTAGGAGTATGAATCTGCTTAGTTGGAATGTAATTGGTTGGACTTGTTAAGGATATTCCTGTGAGCAGAAAATGAATTTTCGAAAATAAAGAAGGTACAATTTCATATCAGATGGATCCACAGTATGAGGGACTGTAGGATAGCCAGCTGAATGCCAAAGACATTGCTGTTGTGACAGAGGTTAATAGAACACCTCAGATACATGGGCAGAACAGTCCCCATTCAAGTCTTTCCACCAGTGAAGCTATGGCAGCATATCAGCCAAAATGGGGTGGAGAGATGGACAAGAAATGGGTGGCACAGAGGAGGAGTAAATATATGCCATATTCTATACTCTTTCAATCCAAAATATGTATCTGTCAATGACACCGCTTTAGAGCAATCCTGGGCCTGGCAGGAAATTTTCTTCCCATTACCTTGAATGGGAGGCACCCAAATATCAGAGCCACCCAAATACCAGAGACATATGGAATAATCTGCTATGCAGAAACGCAGCACCTAATCACAACTGGGTGGTGGTAGTAGGCTCAGCATCAGTGGGTTTGCATGGTGAGGCAACTGCCAAGGAGCATAGGCTTGGAAGGGCTCATCTCTGGCCATGCCAGCCTTTCAGATGGAAGGCAACTGGATTGGCAGAGCTGAACATCAGCTCACTCCCTGTTCCAAAGTGCTACATTTGCTAGAAAAGCCTTCAGTCCCCATCACCACCATGAAGATACCAAGGGGTCATGGCATTCGAGTGGGAATGGATTCAGCACTTGGCTCTGCTCCACAGCTCTGCCACCTGCTGTCTTAGATTACCCCAAATGAAATGGCCAGTGTGGCAATATCAGGCATCCTATTACTAAGAAAAAAAAGAAAGTACGACATTTTGGGTGCATTGCTCCTAAAGCAGGGACCTAAACATTACTTTCAGGTTATCTAAAAAGAAAAATTGGCACATACATAGCTCTAGTCACACCAGTTTCTAGAAAAGATTGAAAGGCGGAAGCCATTGCATGTCTCTCATGCAAGTTCAGGGTAAGTTCTTTTCATGCATTTCCTATAATATATATCTTCTATAACATGTAGTGCTAGCAAAAAGTCTCACTTCATCTTAGAGATTACACTATTGCAAATAATTGATGTCCTTTCATATTATATGTTCCCAGTAGTACTGATTACTTTCTCTTGAACCTGTTCAAACAAAAATTGTTGCCTGATTGTTTCCATAACCCCACAATCTATCCTCTTGTACTGTGATAAATAGTGAAGCAGAAAACACTGCTGAGTAACTTCATTAATTAGACCATTAAGGAAGATTAAGCTTATTCTAGAATTGGCCCTGTGAGATTCTTAGAAGCACTGGTTCTGGCCTAATTTTGCTGTTACTGGAATCAATTGTTGTTTTCTTTGTTCCTTGCTTTGGAAAGGACTACCTTTTAAAAAGCTCACCCATAGCTTGTTAGTACTTCTCTTTTCGTGTGATTGCTTATCTTTAGGTGATTAGGAAATAGCTTGTCAGAGGAAGGTAGAGAACACTATTATGACTTAGGAACCTGTTTAAAAAACACTGACTAGAAAAAGCAAGACTGTTTTTTGATTAAATTTAAAGACAGTGCTGCCAATTTTCTGTCAAAGCAGACAAAGCTGGGAACAGTTCAGCCAAAGTTAAGCATCTTCAACTCCCACTGCTATCAGTAGGAAAGATTTTAATACAACCTCTGGGTCTTAGATCACCTGTTTGTCACACAATCAATTGGAACCTTTGACAGTACCAATACAGTAGGACAGTTTGCTTGTGTAGCATCTCCTGCTGTGTTCATCCTTCTCTGGTCACCTGTGTCTCTCAGAATCTGAAGCAAGTGGAATCTTAATGATGCTCCACAACTGATAGGAGACAGAATGAATGACAGCTTCTGTCTATAGTCACATACACACCTGATAGTTTGGTATAAATTAGTTAGGTGAACATGTACTTATTTTTCCATTTATATCCCTCCTCAATTTATGTTATTCTGTGTCCATCCATCTTTCTTCTTTTATCAGGTGCTCACTAGCAAATTGAAATATTCTTTCATTATTTGGACAGATGGTTTACTTTTTTAACTGACTTTTCCTCTTGATGTAATCTCTTGATTGGAGAAAGCAGTGCTAGGTGAAAATGGATTGAATTGACTGAATCACAGGTGGTTTCTTTAAACCGCAACCCAATCTTGGCACTTATAAGCATGTTTCCCTTATTCTGTCATTACACAATTCCATTCTGCAAAGATAGCACAATCAGAAAGGTATCACATTTTACACTTTCCTAGATGGGGAAATGAAATGAGACAGAATATTTCTTCAAGTGAAATTACCAGCTATTAACTATAGCAGTAAATTCAGGTAAAGACCTGAAGCCTTTACACTACAGAGAAACCCCCCAAAGATTTTCTGTTTCCTAACTGTTAGATTCTTCTTTCACTTAGTTTATCTGTGAGATGGTTTCTTGATAAGTTTCCAGCTATTGCATATAACTGTGACAAATGGTATGCGTCCCATGTAAGTCTGGCTCAGTTCCAGGAAGATTCTGGGTGAGGCATGGAGGTAATGGATTGGAATCCCCAAAGGAGACATCACCAGTGACTTCGTGATAGGCAGCATGTAGTTTGGTATTCCAGAGAAGGGCTAGGAGAACTTGCACTATAGTCCTTCTTTTTGTGGTTTGTTGTATTTATCCATATTTATCATGTATTTTCACATTTCACATTAGCTACCTTGTTTATCTTGTTAAAAGTTTTGGGTACAAATAGTTCAGTGAATAAATGAAACTCTATGGAATACAGATACTGTTTTGATGAAAGTCAGTGTCTCCAAGGCTGCATTGTCTCAGGCACAGGGATCTGGTTTTTCAAATACTGCCTCGGGTGGGCTTTTCTTTCTTAAAAATTCTGAAAAGGCCATTTGGGATGTTTGAGGACTAAGGAAAATACCACTTTTTTCAAAAGCATGTGAACTCATAGAAACATGTGAAGTACTGAAAGGAGCATTGAGACAATAAATTTGGAGATGCCTCCATTTTTTCAAAATCAAAATACCCTTATTTTAGTGGTGCCACCCCACTCCATTTAAGTTCTCTTAGTAGTGGCAGAACATGGCAAAAAATGTATTCTAATAGCAGCAGCCCTGCTGGGAGCTAATGAAATACTGACGTAAAAAAGGAGGAAAAGAGTGTTGCCAATTTGCCCACTTTTGTTCTGTGGTTAATGTCCCTGTAATTCACCCAAGCTTTGTGTGCCCTGTTAGAAAGGGCACACTGTCAGGAAGTCTGTGCCCTAGCACAAATGTTTTGTTGTTCCAGGTGACCCAGAGGCCAAGCTCCCACAAGATGCGATGCCTCTTCAGAATCAGTTTTGTCCCAAAAGATCCCATTGACCTTTTACGAAGAGATGCAGTTGCCTTTGAATATCTGTATGTACAGGTAAGTTACAGAAGTTTACTATAGAGTGAGACAATTTGTGCTGGTTCCTTTAAGCAAGCCCTTTTTCGTAAAGCATCTTCATAGCTGACATGAAACTACCTTTCAAACATTTTGGTTGTAATGGGAATAACAGTAAAAATAGCATACAGATTTACAAGATTGGTGATGATGATCTTGAAATACAGGGACAGCTGAGACTACTTGTTTCCTTGATGTTCCTTTGGTTATTTTTATCTAATCCTTTGTTTTAAAAAATCTACCCTTCCTACAATGAATAAATACATAAATCAGAGTGGCATGTGTGCCCTTCTCCAGTTTCACCCTCCTAGCAACCAAGGAGCTGTGACAGAATGGCTGCCCCAGGTCAGTCAGTGGCCTTAGGGGCAACCCAGTACCCCCAGAGCAGGATCTGATGCTTCTGCCTGCATAAGCTGTGAGTGGGGAGAGGAGACAGGTCTTTGATTTCCCCCTGCGGGTTGTGACATTGTCCACAACTTGGAGCTGGGAATCCAATCCTTCCGAATTGTGACAGTGCCACAGTTTATTGCTGAAATAACCATCCTGCATGGATGCTGGCTGAGGAACTCAACCTTGGAGGAGGAAAAGGGGGGGATTTCAGTGGGTATGGAGAGGAGGAGAGTAGAGAGGCCAGGATACAAGCTGCCCTCAACCACTGATGGCCTCTTTCCTTGCCCCACTGAAACACTTTTGCTCGGCCAGCCTTAAAGCCCAGAGTGAAAAATGTGGAGTGGGAGGCAGAGCTTGCCTCTGCTGTTTTGTCCATCATTGTGGATGCAACTTCATGGATTTAGACTTGGGCCTCCTCAAATCTGACATGCCAAACTAATGCTAGACATCACCTGACAACTTCAAATGAACATTTTATTATACAACAGGTAATATTAAATTGTGCATAGTATAGCACAAAAAGCTTATATATTGAAGGAAGGAAGAAGCAGCAGCAGCAACAAAAGTGTGGAGAATACAACTAGGCTAGGATTTGGCTTATACACTAAACAGAGGGAGATACATTCTAAGAATAGACAGGATGAGCATTTGGCAGTGTATCCACCCATTTCATTGTTCTTCCTGAGAAGTTATTGATAATAAAGTCAAATCTTCCTCATTAAACAGTGAAATCAAGAGCAAAGATATTCAGTTGTTTTAACAAGAGGGGAAAAGCCCTATGGCAACATATCAGTTGTTTCTTTTTTCATTCCAAAAAGTTGCTATTCTTAAAAGTATTAAATGAAGACTGCAACCTTCTTGGTACCAGCTGGGTATAATTTCCCCAAAGCTATGCTACCAGGTACCCATCCCTGTGTATTAGATTTGTACAACTGCATTTTACTAGTGAATATAATTGACTGTTGATTTAAAATTAGCATATATAACAGTTCCTTTTTAACATCATTTTGCTGTTGCCCTTCAATTGTCCTTCTCCTTACTCTGTTACTACATCACAGGCTATAGGCTCCCAAAAGAAAGGAAGAGCTGCAAACTTATATAATTTTAATACCCTAGTAGATTTAATTATGTTTTAACTTGTATTTACATCAATGTTCTGATTGTATAAATTCATATTTTAAGAGGGCTCAATTCCCAGTACTGGGAATGTATGGACTATAAATAAATTTGATGATGATGATGAGGAGGAGGAGGATGCATCATCTGTCAGGTTATGTCTGGAGTCCTAACCTATGTTTATCCGGTACTCCATATTCCTGAAGCTGATTGCTTTCAATTCAAGCTGCTACAACTCAGATTCCTCAGTCAGAGCAACACAGTAGTGGAACCAGCTGCCTAGCAAGGTGGTGGACTGTCCCACACTTGAGACATTCAAGGTGAAACTGGACAGTCATCTGAGTGGGATGGTGTAAATCGATGTCCTGCAACAGCAGGGAGTTGGACTCGATGGCTTTCATGGTCCTTTCCAACTATTCTGTGATTCTTTTTCTTCTTGCTTTGTTATTTCTGCTAGCAACTTCTCCATTAGTTGTAGAAATGAAGAAGACTAAAAGAGGTTGTGCAAACTCCCAAGCCATTTTGTTTTGGGAATGAGAAGTTCAGAACCCTCACTTAGGAAAGCCAAGGGAGATATTAGCTATGAAGTGCCATTCTTGGCAGATATATCTGATACAGAAAGTTAGATTCCCATTCTTGGAGCATGACTAGGTTTTAACCTGTCATGCCTGAGACTCCAGCTAAAATGGTACATGGAAAGGAAACAGTAAGTCTGAAACCTGATAAATTTGCTGTAACCAGGTCCATTGTACATTTTCATTTGGCTTCACAGCTATTTCTCACTTTGTGATCTTCAGGTGTTTATGGACGGCCCATCTGGTACTCACAGTTCTAGTTAATTATAAGCTTACCTTTTCAAGAAGAATTAGTCATAATGCAGTGTATATGTTTAAGATCAGAGATTTTTGAGCTTGATACTCCCTCTGCTGGTTCTTTGACAGAGCTGTAATGATGTAGTTCAGGAGCGGTTTGGACCTGAGCTCAAATATGATATTGCACTAAGACTGGCTGCATTACAAATGTATATTGCAACTGTGACCACGAAACATACTCAGAAAATTTCCCTCAAATACATTGAGTAAGTATATAATGCACATTTTATAACATATGGGGTGGATAGAGTTGTAGAAGTCTATAGAGTTCTATATGCAAGACAAGATTAAGTCTGAAATGGACCAAACTTTGAATGGCCAGCAAAATGTGGTACATCCAATGGCTTTTTCAGGAAAGCCTCTGAAGAAACGTAACTTAATGAAAGATTTTGAGTAGGAAAACTTAAGCCATATTGTTTATTTATTGGAGATGGTTCCAAACTTGATTTAAGGCAGTACTATCTTACCACTAGAACTGTTGCACAACGTAACTTCCTATTTACGGTTAATTTACTTTTGCTATTAAAACACCACAACTTCTCTCTACTCTATTCCAATCTACTTACAAAGTCATTCAGAACAAACAATAAATGAGAGAAATTAAACATTGAGTTAAAGGAATCTATTCTCCATCAAAGATTGCATCCATATTATTGCTGCAAATATATTATTTTTAAATTTATACAGTGTACCCCAAGAAATATTCTAAGGGAACATACATAAATGTATGTATAAATGTATATAGTGCATACCTATCCAATCATTCAATCAAATAAAATCTGTTTCAACCAGCTAAAAAGCACATTGAGGTTAAAATGCATAGGGAAATAAAATATATGAACTTGACCCCAAAAGAGTGGACCATTTGCATTAGGTTAATGTTCCACAAAGGGTAATCTGAAATTGGGCAGTATCACAGAAAAGGCTTTCCATTTCTACCTGATAAATATACTTCTCTGTAAAAGGAATATGCAGAAAGACATCCTCTAATTATGGGCTAGTTTATATGGGAGGAGATTCCTTCACATCATACCTACGGTCCATGCACAAATTGGAGCTTTACAAGGATTCCTATTAGGCAACTGTTCTTGTCAAACCAGTCCTTGAATGCTCAGAAAGAACAATGCCTCTTTTTTTAGTGCCTGCCTATCCATACATAGAAACATAGAAACAGAGTGAGTCAGAAGGCACTTCCCGGGCCATCTAGTCTGACCCCCGGCTCCAGGCAGCTCTGCTCACGGCATGCCCACCATGTGCATACCTACCCCTACATCTGAGTGGAGTCATACCTGCGGGCACCTCTAGGTACAAACCCTGCCATGGGGCATCTCTGTAGTCCTCTAAGAAAGGGATCAATTCATTCAATTCCCAGCAGTTTGCAGGGGCAGCCCTAGTATCAAACCATACTGATTGTAAAGCTATGTACTAGAAGTCTTTCTCCAATCACTGAAAATGTAGAAAGGGGCTGTTCACTCCATCCTACAACACTGTCCTTCAGTTTACTAATATCTCCTGGCTTCCAACTATTTGGACTGAGAAACTATGTGCTAGTTAGGGAAGTCTGCCACAATGACTGAAGATGTATCACAGGCTTCAACCACATGAACCACTTAAATTAATGTAAATGAATTGATGTGTTGCAAAAATTAAAAAGAAAATCTCAGAGTTTTAGAGTTCTTTTAGTACCCATGCCAGTTTTTAGGCATCTACATTTCACATTCTTGCAGCTATTAACTTGACTAGCAGGCAGACAAAGAGAGAGATAGACACTCTTTTATTGCTATGAGTAAAGCAAAAGCATCCTACTTAGAGTTCTGCAACCACGATAATGGCTTTAGGCATGTTATTCAGAGAAAAGTATAAGTTTAGTAAATTTAATACCATTAAATTGGCATTGCACAGTGTGGACTTCTAATGCAATGATTTGTTCACATACTGCATGCCATCATTATTGATTAGTCCTAGTTTGCAGACCCTTCCTAGATCAAAACTTTCCAAATACAACTCATTTCCAGTGTTGGTAGAATCCAGGAGTAGTTGCATTAAGTAAGCACAATGAAATAGGGATCTAAAGGCCAGCTGGTATATTTTTCCAGGGCAGGTTGGCCCTAAATAAGACCGTGTCCTCCATGACACATCTTGCAGCCTCATGAAACGGATAAGTCTTCCTCCTACTTTTACAAGGGAGTTTCAAAGCTTGCCAGTTTCACCGTTGCTCTTTGAAGTTTTTCTGTAGGGATCTTTAAGCTTGTGTACAATGTTATGCGTTCAGCTGGAAATGTTTAAAAAAAAGGAAATTAAATCAGAGATAGTGGTACATAAAAAGATATTTGGATACTTGTGCACAAGCATATCTATAGTTCCCATACTGGAAAATAAACTGCAGTATTTGTAAACAAGAACATGGTGTTAATGTACTCACTGTTTCAAAGGAATCTTAGCTGAATTACACAGAGAGCAGTAATTGAAGCCTACAATATTGATTTGAAGAAGCAGCCCAAGTGGGGTTTATAGACAAAGTTATAAAGCACAGACTTGTGCTCATGACAAAAATCTTAATTTCAGGACATTTAAATACTGCATAGTATGGATGCTATAGATGAATGGCCATGCAGGTGGCTGTGGACCTTTGCAATGAAAGTGTGCAAGGCTAAGCCAGTTGTGTGAGGTGCTTCCCACATGGTTTAGTTGATTTTTAATTTTTGTGAGCTGCAATCTCAAAGCTTTCACAACCCTCTAAGGGAGCCTTCATTTGCAGGCCCTCCATTCCCCACTGATGATTAGAATGTCTAGCCACACTGACATCTGTGTACGTGATTCAGTGATTAGGTTTATGTGGCTTTAAAGCATGGGGTCTTTAGAGCAAAAGGCAAAAAAAAAAAAAAAAAGAAAAGATATTTTCATAACAGAGATTTGTATTTCTACCATTTTAATTATTTTAGTTTTCTGTGGAATTGTGTCCACTGTGTATAGGTAAATACCTTGCATTTCTACGCAATGGGTTTGGCCATGTAACTGCATTTGCTCAGCCTTGTGGATGCCATTTGTATAGATAATTGTCAGAGCAATGTGAAATTAAAGGTATGCCTTATATTGCAGAAAAGAATGGGGACTGGAGACTTTTCTTCCATCTGCTGTACTGCAGAGCATGAAAGAAAAGAACATAAAGAAAGCACTTTCACACCTTGTCAAAGCAAATCAAAACCTAGTTCCTCCGGGTAAAAAGGTAATGCATTTGCATCTTAATAGAAATAGATTTTCATAATCAGTAGAGCTGAATCCAAAAGAGAGAATTTTAAGTTGGTTCTTTAAATAAGTAATTGGCAAATGTATTTTTCAGAGATTTTCCAGACCTTGCAATGGGCAGTGCTTATTGCCATATTCCAAGAACAATTAAAAATAATTTAGCAAAACCATTATTTCATCTTGAGAATGATGGAAATTGCTATTTAACCACAACGACACGGCACTTTCCCTTCTCCTATACTCATTTTGCTTCTACATTTCATAACAAAATTGCTTGAAAATCACTTTCACTTTTCTGAATTGTATTACTTTGGGAGTCTGCCATGCCCTCACATCTTTTTCATCAAGCAGTCCATTGATTTCTGTGATACTGTTGAGTACAGTATTCCAATACAATCATTTACCTTTGACATTAATGGATGTGGTGCTCGAAAGTCTTAAATGCATCTGAAATGGCATATATCTTACCTTTTCATACATGACAACACCGTTCAGCTGAAGGTACACATTTTAAAGTTCCATTAATTCACTTGCAGTGTGAAAGATTAAGCACCTATTTATCTCTCACTGAAATTATTGGGATTCGAAATGCATTAATAATGCGTTATCGAAGATGGGATATAAAGAACCATTCTTATTGAAACTTGGGTATAAATTTAGAAGATAAAGTCAGTTAATTTTTGTCACCAGCAGACCCAGTGTTATTGGCCAAATGCTGAGCCCCACAGTGCTCACTGGAGCTAAAGCCCATCACCAACATCCTCATTAAAAAGCAAACTTTTTCCTATGGTAGTGATACTTACCCTAGTACCACAAAGAAGAGCTCCAGGTGAGAGACTGCAGCCGCTGCCGCCGCTGCCTTTTGTGTCCCTGGAATGCCTCTAGACCTTGCAACATTGACCCCAGAGGCAAGCTAGAGGAGATGAAGATGGTGGTGGCGGGTGTAGCCATTTCATCCAGCACTTCACCCTTCTCAATACCAGAATGAATCTTGGATGTTTCCTCCCCTACCAGTGCTTGCTGTTGCCTGGCCAAAGATTACCAGGGCAATGGTGACAGAAGTTGAAAAATTCCAAAGTTAAGAAGTACCAAATGAAATGGCTGCATCGGTTTCTTCCATCTTCGTTTCCCATCAGTGAACACTGCTTGAGCTGAGTAGTTCAGATCAATATTCTACTAAAGCAACTCTAGTGTTCAAGCTTTACTGTTGATACAGTTTGGATTACATCTGTTGAAAGCAAATAACACTTGAATTCAAAGAACGAAATATAATGACTGCTTTCAGGAAGGAGTGACTTACCTATACACTCTGATAAGCTTTTATTGCCAGTCTTCTTGGGCTGTGCAGTCAAATTCTAATTAATCTAGTTAATGATGTTCTCCACTGTGTCTTACTTTCATATTCATGTTTGGTTTCTCCCCCACCCCCTTATCTCCAGCTATCTGCTCTACAAGCCAAGGTACACTATCTCAAGTTTCTCAGTGATCTACGGCTATATGGAGGCCGTGTATTCAAAGCAACATTAATGGTAGGTTCTTTTTTTTATTTGCCAAATAGTATGCAGATGGAAGATTAACAGGGTACTTCATTAATTGTATTATAACTAATATTGAACCAAATCATGAAGTAGCTCTAATACTACTTCAGGGAGACTCATTCTGATCACCTGCATTTTTACAGATGTCATTTTCTAGTAACAAGTACATAAAATTAGTAGTGCCATTAAATATCATTTTCTTACAATACTTTAAAGCATTTTATTTATGTGATCTACAATCTGGTTAATCTAGACGATATATTTAATGCAATGTTTTTATTACTATCACCCAATAGCCAGAACTCGGAGTAGTTCACAACAATTATCTACTAGAAGTAAACTGATTTAAACTCATACTCTTTTCCTCATTTTATGAAGATCTCTTCTTTTTTGTTTACTTGTTGCAGCAGGGAGAAAAACGTTCTGAGGTGACATTGTTAGTGGGACCACGATATGGCATAAGCCATGTAATAAATACCAAAACGAATTTGGTAGCACTACTGGCCGATTTCAGCCATGTGAACAGAATTGAGATGTTTACAGAAGATGAAACTATAGTTCGAGTTGAGCTTCATGTGCTAGATGTAAAAGTAAGTGGAATATCGATCTGTCTTAATTATTTAAATCAAATTCTGTATTGTAAGAATCTAGGTCTGAGAGTTTCTTAAAAGAATGGCCCCTTGCACCTTGGTAGGCAATTATCCCTAGAAACATGAATAATTTTTAAATCATAATTGCAACTGTTCATTGTGGAATACATTAACTAGAGCATCTCTGGATCTCTCCTCAGATTATGTCTCTGTCTTTTATGTGTAAGACTCAAGATTGTACCTAGATGTGTGGCATTCTAAAGTCCAGTATAGTTACCTCTCCTGACTCCTGAGGAATCCTATAGTGCAGCTCTGCATCAGCCAGTCTGAAACTGGCCTACAAACTGTATCAGGTGCAGAAGGCAAAGGAGAGGCTCAGAGACCTGGAGGAATCTCTGAGGCTTCTGTACCCCATTCAAGAATGGCTAACATGAGCCTTCCACCTTGGCTTCTGAAATCTTACTTTCTCATGAAGGCAGGGTATTCTTTAAGGGAAAGAGTGATATGGAAACTAATCTTAAAAAAAATATTATTCCCTCCCCTCTCAAATTCATAGAAATACTACGAAACCTAACATGAATTTCTTCTGAATAAACATGTTAAAGAGCATACTGGCACTGTAATTACATTAGATTTGCTTACTGCAACTGCAAGAAGGGTTTTTTTTCCCCTGTTTCTGTTTGGTAATCTGTGTATTTTACTCCAAGATAACAGACTTGTCCTGATGATGTAATGTCTTGGTTGTCTTTTCTGCTTAGCCAATCATTTTGTTAATGGAATCATCAGATGCCATGAATCTTGCCTGTTTGACAGCTGGATACTATAGACTTCTAGTTGATTCAAGGCGTTCAATATTTAACATGGCCGGGAAGAAAAATGGTGGAAGCCGTGAAGCAGGTAATGAATATTTACAATGTAACAGACACAATATGCAAAATACTGTACCAGGTCACTTATCAGATTTTTTTTTTCCTGTCACTAGAGAGTGCTGTGAAATTAAAAACATGTACTTCAACAATTATGATTTGTAAGTTTTAGCATGTATCATCACTATAAGTCACTGTAAGAATTCATTATGTGAATTCTCTGTGAGCCAAAAAATGGATAAATAAAAAACATCTGTTAGAAAGTTACCCTGGGTTATATGAACAGGATGAAGCTAAAACTATAAAAGTTTAGAAATAACGAAGTATCCTTAATGGCATAAATTGATTTGTTATTTACCTTTCTCCCATGTACTCATTTTTAGGGAATGAAACTAAGGGGAAGCATAACCTCCATGGATCAGAATGGAACTGTGTGGCAAAAACTACTACATTCCCAGCAGAAGAAGAACAGGAGGCCCACATGTTTGTAGATCCGAAACAGAAAACTACAGAATCCTGCGACAGCACTTTGTGTCCAAAAGAACACAGACACCTATACATAGACAGTGTTTATAGTTCAAGTGAGATTGATCAGCAATTGGCTAAACAAAGTGACTCTACAGAGGCAGAAGAAAACCAAAATTTAAGCCAACAATCTGTGCTGTCATACTCAGGAGGACTGGACTCAAGCAAGAAGACACAAGGATCTCCAAGAGCTGCAAAAGTATCCTTTATATTTGGCGATCACAATTTGGATGGTATTAATCCCCAAACTCTTGGCTATGAAAGACTATTGGATGAAAGTCCAGAAACTTTAGATAAGCAAAGAGCTCTTTATATAAGCCATGCCAATGACATTAAGGGTTTAGAGCTCTCTCCAGATACTGATAGCATTCAGTTTGCTGCTAATTCAGTTTATGCGGGCTTAAATGATGGCAAAATATTTGAAGCTGCAGAAGGAATAGAAGAGCCTTTGCTGCATGATATTTGCTATGCAGAGAACACAGAAGATGCTGAAGATGAAGATGAAGTAAGCTGTGAGGAAGACGTTATGGTAGGAGAAATCAATAGGCCAACTCTTCTTAGCCTTTCAGGTTCTAGTGATGACATCATAGACTTGACATCACTTCCACCTCCAGAAGGCGATGATAATGAAGATGACTTCCTATTGCATTCTCTAAACATGGCCATTGCTGCTCCTCCACCTGGATTCAGGGACAGCTCGGATGATGAAGACTCACAGAATCACACCTTACAGTACAGAGAAGACAAGGAGGAAGCCAAGGACGTTGGGCGTGGTGATATCCCAGTGTCTCTTATTGATGCTGTCCCCACTAATACTGAAGGAAAATGTGAAAGGGGGTTAGATGAAGCTGTGGTTTCTACTCTTCAAGCACTGGAGGCCTTGGCTGCTTCTGAGGAACAACAGACTAATGATAATTCAGGTTCTTTCACCACTGTTACGTTCATTCATTGAAACAAACCATACCATTTCATCCATTTTTACCATTTAGTCTTTTCAACATTAACCTTTTTGGAAACATTTCATAGTCATTGTTGTCATTGTTATTGTTGTTTGCCATCACCTATACATCCCATAGGATAGAACCACCATTGTGTTAAGTTGCCTTTCTTGGAAACTATGCAATATATGAACCAGTATTCTAGAACATTTTTAAGCTTACTAAACCCATTTTCTTATCAGTATGTTGAAGTGCCTGACATGGTTTCATTAACTGGCTCTTATTCTTTGTGGCATACAGGTGTAGCCATCTTGAGAGCATATAGCCCTGAATCTTCATCAGATTCTGGCAATGAGACTAACTCTTCTGAAATGACTGAAAGTTCTGAACAGGCCACCGCACAGAAACTGACTGAAAATGCCACGCGCATGTTTTTGCCTGCTAATGAAGGTAACCAACCGCAGGCTGAATTCTCCATCACCAAGAATCAGGCTGGAGGGCTGCTAATGAAATCTTTACCATCATCGTCTAATCAGCAAGTTACAGAGCTACAGACAAAAGTTGTGCCTTCAAAGCAGATTCTCCATTCAGATAACATGGAGATGGAGCCAGAAACCATGGAAACAAAATCTGTTACTGAATATTTTAGCAAACTGCACATGGGGTCTGCAGTTTATTCTTGCACTACTAAACGGAAAAGTAAGGTGACTGATGGAGAAGGGAAAATGACTCCTGATGGCCATGTTGTTACAAAAAAACAGCAGGAGGCTAAAAAAACAGAAACTGATGAGCAAAAGAGTAAAATTGGTACTCTCTCCTTGAGGGAGGGTCAACGCATAAGCACTTTTAATGTAGAGAGAACTGCCTTTCGCAAGGATGGCCAAAGATGGTATGTTGCTCCAGAAGAAGGAGCAGTGGAGAAACCAAATTCAGAGACAGTGAATGGAAAGGCAGTTCCACGAGTTTCCAGTCTTGGGAAAACAGAGATGGATGGCAAAGATGATGTGTATCCTGAGATTGATCATAATGTTATTTTAGGACATGGGCCAGATGAAAATTTTGTGTCAGATGTGTCTACTCTGCCTTCACCCAAAGATTGGAATGACTCTGAAGATGTTAATTTGTCTGTGGATGATCGTCTTTCCAAGCTTCCAGAAGCTGAGCAGAGTGTGACTAGACTGTGCGAGTACCATTTAGCTAAGCGAATGTCCTCCTTGCAGAGCGAAGGCCATTTTTCCCTGCAAAGCTCGCAGTGCTCTTCGGTGGATGCAGGCTGCAGCACAGGCAGTAGTACATGTGGAACCCCTGTTGAATCTCCTCTTTGTACCTCTGATGCTAAGCACATCATGCCTGACTCAACAGGAAAAAGCATCGGCTATATTTCCGTAGATGAAAGAGCTGCCACGCATCCCAACCACGGATCAACGTACAAGGAGCTGCACCAGCAGTCAGAAACTGTGTGCCACAGAATGGCTGTTCCTGTTATGCATTCTGCAGTGAATTCTGCTGACCCCCTGTTTGGCACGTTGAGAGACGGATGTCACAGGATTCCTAAGATTAAAGAAACTACAGGTACGGAGCATCAGAGCACTGATCTTGAATAGGGACAAAAATCATGGGTGCCAACTAAAATGATTAAAGCAAACCAGCATCCCCACATGTCCGACTGTTTCACACACTGTACAAATCCTGTCTAAATAGTGCAACATAGATCTTGCCACAAACCCACAATGCATAGTAAGTTCAAACACATAAGCAAATGCCCAGTTTCTACAGACCTTGTACCTTGGATATGGAGAATCAAGTGATATGTGTTTATTCCTGAAATACAATGAAAAAAATGGTGCTTTGGACTTCTTCTTCCAAAGCCCAGAAAAAGAGAGCTTCCCAAAACCCTTTAAAAAATTCTTAACATATAAGTGGTAGCTTTGTAGCCACATGTTCTCTAATGTAGGAAAGAGCTTAGGGAGAGATCCCTTTCAAAACAGTACAGCCAAATGTCCAGCACAGAAAGGAGAAACAAGCAGAGGGGAATCAGAGAAGGCAACACTCACATACCTTTGCAGTATTGAAAAAAAAAAATAAAGAAGTCATTCTGTCTCATCTAGTCACTTTACCTACTTGCCTAGTCTCTTGAGTCCCAAGCATATGCCAAGTTTATTACAGAGAGGATAGTTTGAGAAGAAGAGAGCATCTGACTTTCAGTTAGTTAAGGGAAAGCTCTAGAAGCACTGAAGGACAGTACGTCTTATAATTTTTTTTTTGCCCAGTAAAAGCCATACCCTTGCAGCCTTTATTTCTAACACAAGTGGTCTAGCAAACAAAAAAAATCTAGTAGCTGAACCCACCTTCTCAAATTGTATTGCCAAAAGCCCCAGGTGGTTGGAACCAATCATCCTCTTCAGAAAGTTTTAAAGTTTTCTTCATATCTGGGGGACAAGAGACTAAGAAGGTTAAAGAAAGTTGCTCAGGTTATGTTCCAGGAGCCACTGTGAATCTTGGAACAAACCTTGCCCAGAACTTTTCACTTGGGCCTAGAAGGGCTTTTTAAGAGATGAGGCTTATTTCTTGCACTACTCTCTTTTTGACACAGCTATTTATTGATCAAAATGGTTAGAAATTGCCTTGCAGTCCTATAAAGGACCCCTGCCAGGTGCTGTGCAAAGAAAAAGCAAACAAAAACAAATTTAACAGAGAAACAGATTAAAACCAGAACTATTTTAAAACTAAGCAAACCTTTGAAGTCCTGCTGAACTCAGTGTGACTTACTTCTGAGTACATATGTATAGGATTGCACTGTATGTCTCTTTTCAAGTCCCTGCCTGAACCACACTAAATGACACATGCAGTTCCAAGCCTTTTTCCCTAAAAGATTGTTTTTTCAATGGCTGAGATATAACTCCAGAGTCTTCAATCAGGAGCAAAAAAGGAACAGCTACTCTTCCTTTTTTTTCCCTCTGACTTGCTTATATCTTTTCCCCACAGGAAGATAAACATTTTAGGGAGTCTGCTTTTGAGTAGACAAATGGCAGAAAGGGAAATGATGAAGCGGAGGGAGCAGAATTTTGGGAAAAGTATATCTGAAATTATTTTAAGGCCACTTTTAACAGTGAAACCTGCTCAAGGTGTGCTCAAGGTGGCAAAAACCCCCAAAAAACTCAGCTGAATGTGTGGTGTAGTTTGCCTCTGCTAGCCCACAAGTCCCCAGTGCAGATGCCTTCCAGATTTAGGTCACAAGGAACAGTGAGAAGGAAATGGAGACATTGGAAGCCACATGGTCTGTGTATGTGATGAGTGTTACTCTTGAGATATGGCCTGTACTAATGATGACAGATGTGAACCAATGGGATCTAACCATGGCACATGTTCATGTGCATACTAGCTCTCTCCATGCTGATGCACATGCTGGCCAAACCCCTTGATAACACCCTTGGCCACAAAACCTAACTGTTCAGTTGCATGGATTACAAATTTTTCAGCAATATCATCTAAATAGCGTTTTAGAAAGCATTTCTCTATCTTGGACCTCTTGGGGAATAAACCACAAAACCACAAGAATGTTTATCTAACAGCAGTATTTTTATAGTGCCTTTTCCTGCTGGGGCAATCTTGTTTTAGGGCAAATATTTACAATTTATTTTATTTATTTATTTATTAAAACATTTTTATGCCGCCCCATTCGCCGAAGCCTCGGGGCGGCTTACAACAAAAAATTAAAATAACATTTTAAAATATATACAATAAAATACAAATATATAATATAAAACATACACTATAAAACAAGCCGCCCTGGCCAAATAAAATTCAATAATATTAACATTTAAAATACTGCTTAAATAAAAAGGTCTTCGCCTGGCGCCGAAAAACAAATAACGACGGCGCCAGGCGGACCTCTCTGGGGAGCGCATTCCATAACTTAGGCGCCACCGCTGAGAAAGCCCTCCTCCGAGTAACCACCCTCCTAACTTCTTCCATGGAGGGCTCCCGGAGAAGGGCCTCTCCCGCCGATCTCAGGGGGCGGCTGGGCATATAAGGATGTAAGCGCTCCTTCAGGTAACCAGGACCCAAGCTGTTTAGGGCTTTATAGGTCATAACCAACACCTTGAATTGGGCCCGGACTTCAATGGGAAGCCAGTGAAGCTGACGGAGAACTGGAGTCATGTGAACATAACGTCCAGTCCCCGTCAGCAGCCTGGCAGCTCTATTTTGGACCAATTGAAGTATCCGGACCGTCTTCAAGGGTAGCCCCACGTAGAGCGCGTTACAGAAGTCCAAACGGGAAGTCACCAATGCATGTGTCACTGTCGCAAGGCAGTCATTCTCCAGATAGGGGCGCAGCTGATGAATTAGCCGAAGCTGGAGGAAAGCGCTCCTCGCCACTGCTGTTACCTGAGCTTCCAGTGAAAGCTCTGGGTCGAGGAGCACTCCCAAGCTGCGGACCTTGTCCCTAAGAGGGAGTGCAACCCCATTCAGGACAAGGTTCAATTCACCCTCTCCGAAGCCCGATCCACCAACCAACAGGACCTCCGTCTTGTCTGGATTGAGCTTCAGTTTATTGGCCCTCATCCAGCCCATTACCTCGGCCAGGCACCGGTTCAGCACAGCCACTGCCTCACCTGGATTGGTGGAAAACGAGAGGTACAGCTGGGTATCATCAGCGTACTGATGGTTCCGCAGCCCACACCTCCTGATGACCTCTCCCAGCGGTTTCATGTATATGTTGAACAGCAAAGGGGACAAAATGGACCCCTGCGGTACTCCATGGCATAGCTGCCATGGCGCAGAGCCATAGTCCCCCAGCACCACCTTCTGGAACCGGCCATTGAGATAGGAGCGGAACCACTGCAAAGCAGTGCCTCCAACCCCCAATCCCGCAAGCCTATCCAGAAGGATACCATGTTCGATGGTATCGAAAGCCGCTGAGAGGTCCAGCAGAACCAACAGGGACGCACTCCCCCTGTCCGTCTCCCTGCACAGGTCATCATACAGGGCGACCAAGGCAGATTCAGTACCGTACCCGGGTCTGAAGCCGGACTGCAATGGGTCCAGATAATCAGTTTCATCCAAGAGTGCTTGGAGTTGTCCCGCCACCACTCGTTCTAACACCTTGCCCAGAAACGGGATGTTGGCCACTGGTCTATAATTAGTGGCCATCTCTGGATCCAGTGACGCCTTCTTCAGGACCGGTCGGACTACCGCCTCCTTCAAAGGGGCAGGCACCCGACCCTCCCTCAGAGAAGCGTTAACCACTTCCAAGATCCAGGTTCCAATCCCGTGCTTGGAATCATTTATTAACCAAGACGGGCAAGGGTCCAAAAGGCAAGTGGTTGGACGTACTCGCCCAAGCACCTTGTCCACATCATCGGGCCGCAGTAACTGAAATTCATCCAATAAATCTGGACCAGACGGCAGCGTTGGTGTCTCCTTTGAAACCTCTGAATCAATAGTGGTGTCCAGCTCGTGACGAATCTGAGCGATTTTCTCCCTGAAATGCCTGGCAAAGTCGTCACAGCGGGCCTTTGAGGGTGGAATCAGGTCTTCCTTTGGACCTGGACGGACCAGGCCTTGCACCACTCGAAAGAGCTCCGCCGGACGGCATTGTGAGGAGGCAATGGAAGCGGAAAAGAATCTCTTTTTTGCCGCCCTCACCGCCACAGCATAGGCCCGATAGTGGGCTCTTAAGTGTGTTCGGTCAGATTCATCTCGTGATTTCCTCCACCTACGCTCTAGTCGTCTCCCAACCTGCTTCATCGCCCTCAATTCAGGAGTATACCAAGGGGAAGAGCGGGCTCTGCCCGGTGGGAGAGGACGCTTAGGAGCGATCGTGTCTACAGCCCTGGTCATCTCCCCATTCCACAGTTCGACCAGAGCCTCGACAGGAGCACCCGTCTTGTCAGCCGGAAACTCCCCCAGGGCCTTCAGGAATCCTTCTGGATCCATCCGGCTCCGGGGGCGGACCCACATAATCGGGTCCGCACCCTTACAGAGGGAGAAGTCGCTCTCGAGCATAAACCTCACCAGGAAGTGATCTGACCATGACAGGGGAGTCAAGCATAAATTACTCACCCTCAGACCACCCTCTTCCTGCCCCGTCGAGAAAACCAGGTCCAGAGTGTGTCCCCGTTCATGGGTGGGGCCGGTGACATGTTGAGACAGCCCCATGGCCGTCATGGAGGCCATGAAGTCCTGAGCCGCCCCGGTCAGACTAGCCTCGGCATGGAGATTGAAGTCCCCCAGGACCAACATCTTGGGGGTCCTCAACACCAGGTCCGAGACAGTCTCCGTCAGCTCAGGCAGGGAGACTGTTGGGCAGAAGGGTGCGCGGTACACCAACAGAATCCCCAGTCTGTCTCGGTCGCCCAACACCAAATAGAGACACTCCAGCCCTGGTCTCGAAGGGACCGGAAGTCCCGTGAGGGAGATGGAGGCTCGGTAAACCAAAGCGACCCCCCCTCCCCTCCCCTCCGGCCGTGAGCAGTGCTGGACCAGATACCCGGGCGGGCACACTTGGGAGAGGGCAACATCCCCCCCTCTCCCGCCCAGGTCTCCGTTATGCAGACCAGGTCGGCCCCCTCATCCACAATCAGGTCCTGGATGAGGGCAGATTTGTTATTGACCGACCTGGCATTAAGCAACAGCACCGTCAGGCCGGAGGGGCGACTGACGAGACTCCCTGGCACCCTCTGGCTGGGAGCAAAACCAGAAGTAGGGACAGGTGTCAGCCATCTGTCCCTCCTTCTTCTATGCGGACACGTTAAGCTCCCAACGCTGTTACGTCCCCTGCCCATAACCACCTCAATGGCGGCACCCGTGCGCTCCCCAGGAAACATAAGCGGCAGCATGGCCAGGGACGACTCCATAAAAAGATTTAAAATACTACTACTAAAAACACACACACACACACACACACACACACACACACTCTCACCCCTCACTCACAGCCCAGCAGGAGGGCCTACCATCGCCAAGCGCAAGCCCCTGGCCAGCCCCGCCCCCTGCTCGGCCACCCGAACGGTGGCGACCATCCTTTGGCCGACGCCCTTTGTAGCCGCCGGCCCTGCGTCCCCCGCCTCGTCCGAAGCACGCCTGCCACACGTGCTGGGGCGTGGCGGAGCAGCCAAGTGGGCGGTGGATGGCGGCGCGGTCTTACGCAGCAAGGCAGCGGCTCCCCTCCGGCGCGGCGCGGTCTTACACAGCGAGGAGGCGGCCCTCCTCCGGCGTAGGCTGCCGGGCGCAGTTGGTGTTGCTCAATGTGTCTACAAGGACGCAGAACTATGACAAACAGAAAATGTAATCCTAAATCAATATATATGATTAACTTTTCTTCTTCTTCTGAAAGGTATATTGTGCGCTCACTGCTTTTTCCAGTGACGTCAACACGACTTACTAGTACACATTTAAATTAAATGGCACTTATAGAATAACTAATTCACTAAAACAAATTTGTGGTGGAATCGCAGAAATGGCCCCTGTGGTGGTGTATGCTGCAAATCTCTGCTTCTGCCACAACGAAAGGATAGAGGGGACCATGTATTTGCCACTCAGCACTACTAAATTATTATTATTATTATTATTAGTACATTTCTATGCCGCCCCTTGCCGAAGCCTCAGGGCGGCTTACAACACAATAAAATACAATACAATATAAAAATAACAATATAAAATTAAAATTAATAATATAAAATAAATAAAAAATATAAACGATATAAAAGAAGTTATAAAAGAAAAGTTATAAAAGAAAAGAAGTCGCCCTGGCCAGATAAATAAGTAAATATTGTTAACAATTAAAATGACGTTTAAATAAAAAGGTCTTCACCTGGCGCCGAAAAACAAATAACGACGGCACCAGGCGGACCTCTCTGGGGAGCACATTCCATAGATTGGGCACCACCGCAGAGAAAGCCCTCCTCCGAGTACATACCCTCCTAATTTCTTTCACGGAGGGTTCCCGGAGAAGGGCCTCTCCCGCAGATCTCAAGGGGCGGTCGGGCATATATGGATGTAAGCGCTCCTTCAGGTAACCAGGTCCCAAGCCATTTAGGGCTTTATAGGTCATAACCAACACCCTTGAATTGGGCCCAGTGAAGCTGTCAGAGGACTGGAGTCATGTGAACATAACGCTCCGTCCCCGTCAGCAACCTGGCAGCTCTATTTTGAACCAATTGAAGTATCCGGACCGTCCTCAAGGGTAGCCCCACGTAGAGCGCGTTACAGAAGTCCAGACGGGAAGTCACCAGCGCGTGTGTCACCGTCGCCAGGCAGTCGTACTCCAGGTAGGGGCGCAGCTGATTAATCAGCCGAAGCTGAAGGAAAGCTCTCCTCACCACCGCTGTCACCTGAGCTTCCAATGAAAGCTCCGGGTCGAGGAGTACTCCTAAGCTGCGGACCTTGTCCCTAAGAGGGAGTGCAACCCCATTCAGGGCCAGGTCAAATCCACCCTCTCCAAAGCCCGATCCGCCAATCAACAGGACCTCCGTCTTGTCTGGATTGAGCTTCAGTTTATTGGCTCTCATCCAGCCCATTACCTCGGCCAAGCACCGGTTCAGCACAGCCACTGCCTCACCTGGATTAGTGGAAAATGAGAGGTAAAAAAATCAGAGATGAGTGAAAAAAAGTCTCTTCCTTCCTCTTTGTAACAGCCCTTGATGTACCTGTACAGTACTATCATATCCCCTTGTAGTCTTTTCTTCTCAAGGCTAAACATGTTCAGCTCTCTCAGCTTTTCATCATAGGGCTTATCTTCCACAACCTGGGTCATCTTTGTTGCCCTCTAGTTTCTTTCTAGAATGCTTTCTAGTTTTTCTGCGTCTTTTTTTAAACCTGGATACCCAGAACTGAACTCAGTATTGCAGGTGAAATCCGAGCTTTGCTTGAGTTTTGCTGATGTGCACATCCCTATTTTGACCACACTTGATGTTTTACAATCCATTCACACAAAAAATTGAAAGGCCATTTTTCATGGGCTTCTTTGTCAAAAGTTTTCTATTTCAGATGAAGTATTTTATAATTATTAGTTTTAATAATGACATTCCTGTTTCCTTCAATGATAGCTTAATATCCTAAATAATCAAGATCCAGAGAACAACATAAAATGCAAGTCTCCTTTAGGAAAACGGAGAATATCATTTTATTTGGAGAGTTTTTCTTCCAATATACACATGTATAAAAAAAATATGAAGCAAGACATTAAGTTTAGTTCATCATAGTGAGATTCTGGAAAAAATACATGTGAAGACAAACACAAGATGTTTAGGGCAGTGAGGCCAATTTGGAAGTGGGTTTCTTGTATTTTATCCCTGTAGGATCAAAGTGTTTGTAGGGCGGTGGGGAAAGGGCTCTGAAAACTGACCACTGTAGCAGCCTGTGATTTGCCCTGATTGGTTGGCACCTGTGATGAGATCACATAACCACATGATCACCACCCAAATCCTGGAACAGTGATTTAATTTTACTTAATCTAACAGTAGATGAACAGGAATTTATACAATCTATGTACTTGCACAAAACAGATATAAATTGATATTTTAAAAATAATGATAAAGGAGGATTTCCAAGGAGCCAAACCAGTATTTGATTCACTATTGTATCTGGATGCCATTTGAAGGAAGCCAAGAGGAAACCAGGTTCAGTCACAGCTGCAGAAGTAGTTGTGACTTTTCAGTTTTTGCATTAGGTCTGTCTTCACTCTAATTGCCAAACAGCATGTCTTATTTAAATGGTTTTGTTTGTTTCTGCATGTCTCCTGAAAGAGCCACGGGTGTATGATGAAATAGTAAATATCCCCAAGAATCTAAAAATAAGTATTCATAATGTTAATCCTTTCTCCTTTGCAAAAGAAAAAGAAAAAAAGTGAATGCTGTGAGACTGAAATACTCAGTCACTAAAGGCCTTTTTGAGATGCTTCATTATTCTCTTTGTTCTTCTACTACCCCTAGTGTAGCTTTCACAGAGCCTGTGACTGGAAGACAAGGAGGCATACCTTCAGCTTTTCCAAAACAGCCCAGAGCTGGTTCCATCATGCTATCATCCCACATTCACTCTGAATCAAAGGTGCCAAGTCAAAACCAAGACTCTTTTGATGTTCCCAAAGTCAACCAGTCAGGTGGGGTCGTGGCTAGTTTTTGGCCATATGATGTGATGGGGGGAAGCCTCAGAATGCCACACAAGAAGAAAGTCTTGAGACGGAGCAGCAGTGTCATTGCAGAAACTACAGGCATTGCGATGTTTCTTGAGAAGGAGAAAGCCACAGCCAGTTTGTTATGTACAGATGCCACGGAAGGAGAGGACTCAAAAGCAGAAAAAAGAGGAGAACTTCCTCTGGGGAAAAAGTTGTTGAAATGTTATTCCCAAAGCTCTGTGAATGTCTGTGTAAGCAGCAAAAGATCTGTCTGGAATACCATCCAGAAGGAGCCCAAGCAGTACAGAACATTGCCCTTACGAAAGCTCGATGCTAGCAACTGGAAATGCCGTGGGCCGTTTAGCTATTGTTTCTTGAAGAGAGGAACTCCTGAAGATGATGAAGATGAAGTTGAGCACAGAGATAGCACCCAGCTCTCATGCCTCTATCGTCCTGAAAGACCGTGCATGGTGGAAGAAGTATCTACTCAGTCTTCCTCGACCAAAAATGAGGAAAATGAGATAGAAGCTGTGGAAGTTCCCAGAGATGCAAAAAGCAGTCAAAAAAGCAAGAGGAGTCTTGAAGGTGAGGATGGCAAATTCAATACGGATCTCAGTGACATGTCCTTCAATGCACGGATTTCAAGACTCAGTGTCATGAAGGAAAAGAATTATGCAGTGCCTGATGGATTTCTTGCAGCACAAAAGGATGCCAATGAGCTACTCTGTTTGGTCCGGTCTAGTGTGGGGAAGAGGGAGGATCATCCAGGAACATATGACCTTAAACTTTCTCAGTACAAACAACTGTTATCTGTAGAATCTAGACAGTTGGGAAGTGCCTGCAGGAAAATGGCCATGGCTGAAAAAAGCCCTGAGGAAATGCTTGTAGCTATGACTTCTAGCTTTCAAGTACTCTGTTGCTTAACAGAAGCCTGCATGCGTTTAGTTAAAATCATGAACTCTGAAACACAGCAGGAGGAAATAGTAGCTAAAATAGATGAAGTTGTAATAAACTACATTTGTCTTCTAAAGGCTGCAGAAGCCGTGTCTGGCAAGACCTCCAGTGACTCTAGCATTAAACTCTTGGCTCGTCACTCGACTACCATGGCCACTATTGTAAGCACACTAACACGTTCTCTTAAAATGCTTTTAAATAAATAAACAAACAGAAGTCACTTCATAATCTACCTTTGCAAAGCCATACATTAAAAAAAACCTTTTATTTACTTGTATCTGTATGAACTAGTGTTAACAAACACTGCTCTCTCTGTGTATATTTTGTGATTTTATATAAAATAGGTATGAGACCATACACACACACACACACACACACACACACCCCTGAAAAACTTCTGGCCAGTTCTGTTCTCCTGTTTCCTTTATTTTAAAAAAGAGAGAAAAAGATGCTGTACAATTGGACATTTGGCTTTTTCACTGACAAATCTACAAGTGTATGATCTAAACTTCTAAAGACTGCAATGCTAGAGGAATTACCTCCTTTCCCCCTCCAGGTTTAAACTTAGAAACCATACCATTTATGGTTAGAACTAAGAAATGGAAGCATAATGTATATAACAGTATTTAATGTTTTGAATTATAATGTTAATAGCAAAAATAATTTTAAACCCCAGAGGCTATAATGACTTACTAGAGATTATATATATAAATATATATACATACACAATAAATTAATCTTTTGTTCTTATTACTTGATTGATGCATTTGTTATGTTATTTCCATGCTGCCATTTGTCCAAACAAAACCCCTACAAGGCAGCACACAAAAGTTAGCACAAATACAGAATTCAAACAGCAAAATTTGAAACAACAAAACAGCAAATTTCAAAAGTAACATTGTAAACCACCCTTAAGCCAGACACAGCATTCTGCTGCCTAAAAACAAAAATAGCATCCCACAATTGTCAAAGAAAGCATCAAGGGTAAACCACACCCCATGCGGTAGCTCCATCATAGGCAGCAGCTTTTATAAGGACCCCAGTCAGAGCAAGTGTCGTGGAGCAGGTGAAAGAATTCACCCATGATGGTTCTGTTTCAAAGAGCTTCTCCTCAGTCCCTTTCTGGGCAGCACATGCTCACATAAAAATAAAGGGAAAGCTGGCTTTGCACCTACTTCTACACATTTCTTTTCATTGGGCCTTTTTTCAATACTGTAGTAGCTCAGAAGTATTTTGGTTACTATCAGAAGTGGGTAAAATGTGGCCTTCAAGATGTTTTGGCCTACAACTTCCATCATCCCTAGCCAGCATAGCCAGCATAGAGGTGAGAGATACTGGAAAGTGTATCCAAAATGCCCTCAAGTTGCATTAGATGCTAAGAATAGAAACCTGACACATTCTCACATCACTGTAAGCCACTCTGCAAATAAGCCACCGTTGGTTTATTGTTTGCTAAACAATGCACAGTCCTAACAAAACGATCAGACATGCTGTGGCCTTTTATTCCTCCCAACTACTCCAGCACATTTCCCAGGTGCCTTTGTGGCAGAACTTCTCCTGTATCAAGCATCCTTTCTGCAATTTGTCCACAGGTCGCTGGCTACTAAAGGACCCCCCCTTTCCGTTGCATTAACTCATGAAATGAAATTAATTTCATGAGCGCTTACATACAGCAACACTTTTGCCTTGCCTTCCTTGGAGAGGGCATTTTTATTGTTGCACAAATCCAGTTCTATACTATTTAGCCAAGCATCCCCATATTCTCTTCCATTTCAGCGTTTCCATTGCTAGCTGGCTAACACTCCCTCTCCCCAAGAAAGTTGTGTCAGATTATTCCAGACTAAGGAGACCTGCTAGCAAAAGTGCTTCCCTCTGGTTACTTCCCTCCGCCACGGCCTTCTCGCTTGTCTCCTCCTTCCTTTACTAACTGTCACAACTTACTTGATATGGGATTCAGGGAAGACAGTCGGAAGAATGTCGTAGCAAAGAAGTAACATGGAGGGGGAAATTGTGGAAATGTAAAGGCAGCTGTTAGCTGAGAAGGGGTGAGGGAGGATGTTGGTGGCAAAAGCAAGCAATGGCAGGGTCATTTGCTGCTCTGGATGAGGGTTCGCTAGATGCCCCCGACACCCCCTGATCACTTTGCCCTGCCGGGTTTTGACAACACAACAAGCCACGGATTCTTCGGTTGGTTTATGGGAAAACAAAACAAAACCTGCTGAAACTATGCTGGGTTCTCACAATACAACAGTTCGCTCTGGCTGATTGTTCATGGAGGGCTGCTGAGTCATGCAAAACACATCACTGTTGCATTTGAGCAAAAAGAATGCAAAGCACTCAACACTTGGGGGATGGAAGCAAAAGCCATATCACCATGGTCAGCGATATACATTACCTAAAATTGGTCTCTTGGGCAGCTTGAACAGAGTGAGTGACTCTTTATTTCTTGGTATGTTTTTGTGGCTTCTCCTGATTTTATATTCCTTCACATTACATTCTGCTCTTTTGTGCTCCTTGATTTGTGCTCCATTCAGTTTTGTTCTGCTCTCTTCCAAAATGGGTCAACAGAGAGCTTTAACAGGAAGCCATATAACAGACTTATAATTTCCCAGCAAGTCAATTTTCCTTTGAAACGATGAGACTGATAGTAAGTAATCAGAGATTTACACTGCTTGAGAACATGATTACAGGATAGCTATACAATATGAAAATCAATTAAGCAAATGGTTGCAACTTTTCATGCAGCCCATGATCAACCAAATCAGGAATGCTCATGCATTAGCTGTTCTGCATCACTAGGTGGTTAGACTAGAGAATATTTGAGGTCTGTTCCAGCTCCATAATTCTAAGTACCTTATTGGTCAGCATTAGTGAGCTTCAGAAAAACTTGCATTTTGCATTTACCTTATACATTTCATCTCAACGTATCTCTGGATTATGTCTAGCATTAACAGTGTCCCTTTGAACTTTGGTTCTCACAGGCAAGGGGCCATTTTTCTCTTCACATGATGCTGGTATGCCAATGGATGGAGCAGCATGAGTGAGAGTAGAGCAACTGGGCCCTGCTGTCCAGCTATTTTAGTTGATAAACATGAACTTATAGCAGCAAGCCAAAAAGGTGTCAGCAGAGAACGTGTTGATAAAGTTGTTCAAAGATCAAAAGCATTATTTACATACAAGACTTATTTTATTGTCTGAAGGCTACCTTGCAGTACATTGCTGTCAAACTTTTCTTGAGAGATGGAATCTGCCTTCAAGGTTTCTAGCTTCTCTGGCTGCTGTCTAAAGTCAGCCTTAGTTACCAACTATTCAAATCATATGTGCTTGTCTCTTCACTTTCAGGAGGTTACCAAAGACCAAGCAACTGCATTTCAATGAGTTTTTTGTGAGTAAAAAAAGTACTAGTACTATAAATTTTCTTTAAAATAAAATGAGGGACTTTAATATCTTCTTTCTGGTGAACAGTCATGTTTTCAAACTTCTTTGTATCCAATAAGCATTATGTCAGACAAGCAAGAAAACTAAATTAAGGTTTTAGTTTAACTGGGTGTGAAAATGTGATTCTCTTGGGGCTTGAGAGTTGCAGGAGAAGAGGACAAGGGTAGTTTATGTTAAGTCAGCACGGATCTCTTCAGCAGAGATCAGAAACTGCATGTCCATGGACAATTCCCAGTGGGTCTTGCTGGCTGGTGTTTTGCCTCTGGTTGCAGTTTTAGAGGAATGCTGAATAGGCAGTTGGCCTCATCATGGGTACCTCGCTGCCTTCTTAATTCTCCTTCCACTTGTTCCTTCAGGTCGTATCCCGGGGGCCCTATGGAAGGAACAAATCCTCTCTCCTTCCTCACCATGATGCTAAACCATTGTTACACCTCCCCTCCCCACCATTTACAGGCCTCCCATGGTTGCCCCACATTATAATGATGGCAGGGGAATAATGTATGCAAATAACAGACAAGACTTTTGCTATAGCTTGCCCTGTATCTAGGGAGGTGCATTAAAAAGAGGGTAATTTTTAAGGGTACTGGCTTGATGTTGTTTGTATCTGCTGACTTCTTCGAGTTTGGGAAGACAGAGAGGATGTTGGGAAGTCATTCTGAGTGAGATGATGATGGCAGGACCACATTCTGCAGCCAGGTGAGCATGGAAAAAGGTACTGGTGGTTCTCCATGGAAGGAGAAACCTGTATTTCATTTTCTGAGTGTTTTTCAGTGTGTTGTAGAACCACTGATTCAGGCTGTGTGTGTGTGACTGCAAGGTGAGGTCTTGCATATTACCAGAGAGTTTAGCTTAAAGACAGATATAATCATGATGAAATTCATGGATGACCAATGAGCATTCATAGGCCTGTTATTTATTTATTCATACACAATGATAGCCTGCCTTTTTCCCAGAAAGCTTGAGGCAGTACATACACTTTCCCTCTTTAATTCTCCACAACAACCTTGTGAAGTACTTGAGGCTGAGAGTGAGTCACTATCCCAAGGCAATCCAGCGGCCTTATGGCAGAGAGAGTAATGACTAGCTAATACCTACTTTTTACAGTATAATAACGCCTGATTACCTGAGAGGATATTGGGACATGCGACAACTACCCTTTCTAGTTCTATAATTATTATATATGGAGAGTCAAGCACTGTGCATCCCTCATATATCTTAATACTCAATAGTCTACATAGTTTAATATAGAACCAAAGCAGATACAACACAGTAATAAACTCTGTCACCATTCAAGACAGAGCAACGTCTGCAAGATCAGTTTGCTAATTTTTTCAACTTCCAAGATTCCTCACACTGGTTTATATATATGAGATAGATAACCCAACTAGACAGAGTTGTGCCAGCCACTATTTTGTTAGAAATGCAATGTGTGAGAACAAAATCCAGCCACTTTTCCTCCAGAACAGTTGTTCAGCTCTATCTATCTATCTATCTATCTATCTATCTATCTATCTATCTATCTATCTATCATGGCTGTTTGAGCAAAGCTCCAGCTTCCAGATTGGACTGGCAATCACACACACATGAAATTACATGTGAAATGCTGTCTCCTCCTAGGAATAATTGGGCAAAACCCTGCAGCAGGACAATCTCTTGTATGGAAGAGGACTCACTGACCTGTCTGTGTGAGTTTGCTAAAGATGGCAGCCAAGAATGTAAGAGTTTAGCAAGGATGTGCTTTCATTAAAAGTTATAGTTCTGATAAAGC